GCTTCAGCTTCTCCTTCAGCCCTGCCCCTCCTCCTCCGCTCGCTTCAGCTTCTCCTTCAGCCCTTCGCCCCTCCTCCTCCGCTCGCTTCAGCTTCTCCTTCAGCCCTGCCCCCTCCTCCTCCGCTCGCTTCAGCTTCTCCTCAAAGTCTCGCAAAGCCGTCTTGAGTTTTCTTCTTCTGCTCGCAGCCTCTGCGTCTCCTCCTCCTCCGTCTCTTTCTCAGCCTGCAGCTTTGCTCTTGTCTCCTCCGCCTCCTGCTTCGCTCTTTTCAGCTCTGCCTCCAAGTTTCGCTTCTGCGCCAGCAGCTCGTTGTGTTGCTTCGTCAGCGTCGTCTGCTCCTCTTCCTTCGACGCCAAGTTGCTCTGCAAGTCGTTCCGCCAGTCCTCCAACTTCTTGTGCAGAGCCTCGCTCGACTCTTGCATCTTTTGGTCAAGGTCTTCACCTCCTCCTCGTTCTCCTCCTGCAGCTTCGCAAGCTCCCTGACCTTCTCCGCTTCCTTCTCCAGCGCCTCCCTCGCCCTCTTTCCTTCCTCCTTCGCCTTCTCCAGCGCCTCCTCCGTTCTCTTCCCCTCCCTCTCCAGCTCTGTCGCTCTCACCTGCAGCTCTTGCAGCTGCATCTTCAGCTCCTTCAACTCCTCCTCCCTCGCTCGCTTCGCCTCCTCCAGCGCCGCTCGCTCTGCCTCCTCCTCACGCAGCCTCGTCCGCTGCTGCTCGCCATCCGCTGCCTTCTCATCAAACTTTTGCTGCAGTTGACCCAGCTAGCAGACTTCGTCAGGAGAGAGACACAGACAGAGAGACAGGGAGAGCCGGCAGGGGGGGAGGTACCAAGGATGGAAGGTGGTGGTCTTGTTGATGGCGGAGTAGCAAGAGGAGGAGGAGGAGGAGGAGGAGGAGGAGGAAGAGGAAGAGGAAGAGCAGGAGCAGGAGCAGGAGCAGGAGGAGCAGGAGGAGCAGCAGGGCTACCTCGTCATTCAATTTTCTGCCTCTTCATTTCTCTTCTCCTGCGTCTCTTTCGCTTTGTCCGCCAGTCTTGTCATCATGTCCATCACTTGAAGGATGTCATGTGCCTGCACCTGTGTTTGCAGTCATCATCATCTCCATCATCATCATCATCATCATCATCATCACCACCACCACCACCACCATCTCCCTCCTTTCTCCCTCATCATCTTCGCTCTCGCAACTCGCCTCATCGTTCTCCAGAGCTTCCGCGATTTTCTTCACCAGACCCTCCAGCGTCGACGCCTTGACGTCCTGCTCCAGGTGCGAGCTGGACAGCTAAAGAGAAGAATGAGAAGAAGTTGAGAAGACAGCAAGACAGCAAGACTGCAAGACTGCAAGACAGCAAGACAGCAAGACAGCAAGAGAACATAAGAGTGGGAAGAAAGGAAAGAAGTTGAGCGTGACTTCAACCATCTTCGCTTCAAGTGATGGATCAAGGGTGAACAGCCAAAGGCTTTGCTTCTCCTTCAGCTGAAATCACGAGATTGAGATGTTGTCAAAATCGTCTCTTCCTCTTCCTCTTCCTCTTTTAACTTCTCCCCATCTCCATTCCTACATGATCCTTTCCCCCCGTCCTCCCCTCCCCTCCCCTCTCTCTCCCTCCCCTCTCTCTCCCTTCTCTGTCCCCTCTCTTCTCCCTCCCCAACTTACATCCAGCATCTTGACTGTCACTTCTGTCCTCCATCTGCCTCTTGTGTAAGCGAATGAAATCCTCCTCCTCCTCCTCCCCTCCCTCCCTCCCTCCCTCCCTCCCTCCCTCCCTCCCTCCCTCCC